ACTTTGGTGTTTTTGATGAGTTACTTTCATTTTTGTTTCTACTTTTCATTTAAAATAAGTTTCCATTCTCAGCAGGTTTCTAAGGTTCTTCTTCTACATATTAAAAAAGTTGTTAAACATCTGAGTGGTGCACTACTGATACTAGTGGTGAGAAAGTGTATTACACCTTATTCTAAATCAATGTGGTCCCACGGCCCTCTGTGGCCCAAAGTTTAAAACTGTTGTTCTTTTGAGGCCCTCAAGGTGGCGCTCACGGCCCACATTTGGGCTGCGGCCCATAGCTTAAGAATCTCTGATTTAGAGTAAATAAAGGATGAAGAAGAGGACTAGTTTTTTTCTTTATCCTTAAATAATGTGGATTTTACCAGAGGGCATGTGTCTCTCAATGAATCCAGCCAGAAACAGGTACACTTAGTAACGGATCACCACCTTGACCGAGGACAGAGTCAGTCACCCACCACGATTCAAGTCGGAGGGAAGATGCTCCAGTTAGTGACGAACTCTCAGATCCTCACCCAGTTGAACCTCCCAGTCTACGTTACTTTTCCAGCGTCTCCTGGCCTGCTTTCAATCGAAGATCAGAGACGAGGCTTCTCTGTATCCGTCTCAAAAATCAAAAACGTCTGCCACGGAAGTTTCAAAACAAAAATTGCTCGGTGTGGCTTTGATAAGTTCAAGAAAATGGACGAGACCGAGTGTCAGTCTGGTCCAGGCTGAGAGGTCTCCCCTTCACTCWATGGGCTGAACCTCGCAGCCAAACACTTTTATCCACTGTATAAAAGTCACAAAAGTCAAAAAGTCATAGCACTCGTCTCTTTAATGAGCTGAACATTTAAATATATAAATGGCAAAAAAAAAGGCACAAAACCTCCAGAAATGAATGTTGATGTTTCATTGAACAAACTGCTGATCCAACTCATTCCTAAAGACTAGGTCTTCACTCTGACATCAATCATTAGTTCCAGTAGATTTTAGTTTTTAAAACCCTCCTTGAGCCCTTTCCTTCTCATCAACTGTCTCGTCTCCCACTGTTACCTTCCTCTCCTCATTTTCTCCCTTTTCTTTTCAACTCATCAGCTGGAGCGACAAAAAAGTGTCTTTTTGGGACTAATTTCCCACAGAGCAGAAATCAGAGTTATCTTGAAGGACCTGACTGTGACTAATGATTCGCAGAAATGCAGCTCTTCCCTCAGGCCAACTCAAACATGAAAGAAGACCTAAAAAGTGAAAAAGGTAAGAAGCTCACTGCTGTGCTAATTTTTTAGACTGAAACCATTTGGCACATTGAGCAATGCACCAATAGCAGCCCAGATAATCAATGTGTTATATAAATTTTATGTTTTTGTTTTAAATCAAAGGGTTTGTGATCTACTTTGTTCCTCGAAGTTGTAAGCATTTATTTCCAAGTGTCTTTTAAACAAAAGCGTAAAGTGCAAACAGCATGTAGTATACTGTATGCATGCTGTGTTAGGTGTAACATTTCCCCAAATAAATCAATTAATGTGACATTTCTGGGCTCTTTAAGACTTTTTCTTGTCCTTTACTGTTAGTTTTAGTTCCTGCTGTACTGGATGACACGAGAAACTTCACACTCAAACTTAGAAAGGAAAAACAGCTAGTGATATAATTATTTGTTACTTAAAGGGACAATGTTTTGTTTCCCAGGCATATATTTAAATTCTATAGCATAATAAAGTAACTATGTCACCTTCAGTTGTTATTAAAATGCTGTTTATATGTTTAAATTGAAAATAAACACGACTTCTCAGCATATATGTTTCTACACTGTGGTCATAAAGGTATGGACATGGTCAGAAGATGGTACACTGTGGTCACACAGGGATGTACATGGTCAGAAGATGGTACACTGTGGTCACACAGGGATGTACATGGTCAGAAGATGGTACACTGTGGTCCTAAAGGGATGGACATGGTCAGAAGATGGTACACTGTGGTCCTAAAG